CGTAAAGTCATTCCCACCGTGAGGGCTGAACCACTCGGTGAGATCGCCCTTGACGATCCGCCACACTCGCTCCACCTCACAGTTCACATAGCAGTCACGAGTGGAATTATTCTCATTCCATTTCCACGTGTGCGGCCATGCCCTCTCCGAGGTAAGCACCATCAGCCTGAGACGCGGTGCACCGGATTGCTGCACACCGTCATCCTTTTCGAGGGTTCGGCCAACTGCCCTGTACGTCCATGGCTGCGGTGGTTCCCCCTCATGCACCTCCATTCCCGTCCCCTCGCCGCCAGGAACTTCCACGACATGATGCCACCTCGCATTGTGCACAGACTCGTACAATCCCTCCAGGTACCTCGGTGCGCTCGACTTCTTTGGGTTCCTCGCTTCCTCGGCAGCTGCATCCAAAAACCTTTTGGTGATTTCATGAACACTTGCCGTTACCGCAGCAGCCACCAACCACCTCAGTAGATTGTAAACACCCTTATCGTAAAGCTTGTGTACATCCTCTTCCATATCCATTTCCTCCCTTACAGCCCCCTCCATCCTCTTGTAACGATCGGATGCCTGTATTTCGCCCAATACTCCCGCATCGCAAATATACTTCTCGGGGTCCTTAAAAACCCCTTCTGCAAGACATCCCGGTTGGCGTCCACAAAGCCCCCGCAATCAAATCTCCTATTAAGAAGCCCATTCAGCTTTCGGTCCATGAAACAAACTTTTCTTTTAAACAGTACATCTTCAGTCTTAGTTACAACGGTGAATTTTCTTCGCTGCTCCGAGTATCCGTCTGGCATTTCCAGGGCTGAATCAAGTTTTTGCATTGCCCGGAAATTGATCGTGTCTTTCCTCTCATAGTCCCTCCATTGACGAAGAAAGAACACACCCTCGTGAAGAAGTTTGTGCACCTGGTAGTCTATCAAATTAAGAATTCCTTCAAGAAGCTGCCGTTCTTGTATGTAAGCATCGAGTCTCCGAATAAACATCTCCCCCGTCGCATTGTGGTCTTTCATCAACGGTCGCCCTGCCGCCAATACAATTCAAAAAAAAAATATTAAGCTTCAAGCGGGTGCTGAGAGTAGCTCCGTCCAGCATTAGATCTTCCGCCAGACTGTCAAGAGTCCACGGCGGTCACTCTTTACTCCCCACCAAATGTCGAGCTGCAGCGTCGGAGCCAACACTGGTGCCGCTGGCTCCAAAGGACAGTCGCGGCTGGTTCGTCCCGCAGTCCCAATGGCGTTGGGCGTGGCACTCGCACGGCTCGGTGGTCGGTGCGCCATGCAGCCGCACTGCAACGCCTGTCGGTGAAGCAGTCAAGGCACACCGCCTCCGCAGCAACACGAGGTGCAATCGGCCAAAACACCGCCACATCATCGTCCTTTTTTATTCTTTATTCGCGTTGTCAGTCTGTTTGCCCTATCACTAACACCAAAAATAAGTGTGCACCTTCACAAAAGAATAAAAGGAGGCACGATCCCACCGTCCCGCCGCGGCCAACACTCTCCTCCACCCACCACCATTGCCGCACAGGAGACCGCAGTCACATCGCAGAGTCAACACCACAATGTGCACCACACCATCATGCAGTGAACGATGGGCTGGACGCAGCCATGCATCGCCCCGCTACATTTTCCCACCACTCAAGCGTTGCGTGCCCGCACAAAGCAGCAAACAGAATCAGAGTGTACACAAACCCAACAAAACCCCTCACTCGCTGACGCACATTATTCGCATGGAGTGACAACATTTGAGGACACACCAGCAGTAGCAGGCTGCATGGAATTCCCCTGACAACCCTGCAAAGAGACAAAACAACTCTGCGGAGTCAAAGTGACAGCCCCTCGGTGCTGCCCGCAGTTCACATGGCAGGAAGAATTCCACGCACGCATATTTCCGGATTCCCCGCTGCTCGAGTGCACATCAACAGAACGTAAGAAAATACGTGCGCGCAAAAAGGCAATTAAATAAGTGAAGTCGTCAGCCTGCTTTCTCCGATGGCATTGGCGAGCAGTTCCACACAATCCAATCAAAGTGGCACGCCGGACAGAATGGCTTCAGTTAATCAATAGGAAAATGCGACACTGAAAAGGAGCAGAGAAGAGTTGGCGCATGCGATTGCCAGCGAAAACTGTGAGCAACCCGCCAGCACCAACTGAGGTGCCGAGCAGCACGTTTGTGTAACTGGCCGTCAGGCAGAGAGGACAACCAAAACAAGAGGGCAGCAAACCCTCTCGTTCAATTTCTCCTGACCGCGACACCAGAATCAAAATACCATGGACGACAAGAGCGGCAACGTCTTATCCAAAACATCGTGTCAAGAAGCCGCAGGACCTCAGGAAGGGAGGAAGACATCGGCGGCAGCCACAGCGGTGAAGGCAATAAAACGGCTGGCAGGCACCTTCACGTCGACGCGCACACCACATCCGAGTGGGCCGGGAGCACAGATCGAACCGCTCGGAAACACACGCATCAAATCCGCAAAACAAAGTCGCAGTGAATCGACAGGAACTCCCCGCCCAAAACAAATTTAAAAAGTAGCGTTTTTCAAGGGGGACTCCGCCTTTACGACAACGGCACGGACGCCTCGCAGGAACTTCTTGCAAATCTCCCTTTGCAGGTCCGCAAAAAAAAAAAAAAAAACGCAGCGGAATAAAAAGAGAGCGCAACAACGCAAAATAATAATAATAATCCTCCTAACCGACCAGGTGGCAGGCCGTCCTCGCGCAATTGGACAGAACACAACTTCACTCCGGTCTTGTCGTGGTGGTCGTCTCGCAACATTTTTCTCCTTCCCTTCGCAGTGCACATCCCCCCCCACAAATCATTTGTTCGAGCCATGTTCCTGCGGCCAAGCATCGCGCTGCTGGATCCCGCGGCACAGTCCTCGGCACAGAAGTGAGGGAGGAAGAGGTACCGCAGAAGGTGCGAGCAAATCCGAATTCGGTGGCGGTCGCTGCAGTGAAGATTGACGTCCCACGCGGTGTCCCTTTTCTAGGTCCGGTCCTCACCGTGCCATGCTCTCAGCGTGCGGTGCGCCGGCCGCTCCAAACATCCACACGTGCTTGCGTCTCGCCGTGGCTCCCAGCCCCGTTCGTTGGCTGCATCAGGGATGCCGCCATCCAGAGACGGGCATAAGGACGTTGCATACAACAAAACCTTCAGAGGCACCCGCTGGGCCAACGACGACCATCACTGCGGGATGTGTGGCCCTTCCGCCGCTCACCTCAAATCGCACTTCTACGCCTCCTCGAGCAGCAGCCGCCGCATAAATACACCGGTCCACTAGAGGCCGTCACCAGCCATTGCAGGAAGACCACTGTGCCTCAGTGCTATGGAACCCGAATTGCATTGACGGGCAAATTCGGAAAATCCTGTCGCATCCTCCCCCATTATGCGGAAACACATCCGTCGTGCATGTGTCCACCGCAGCCAAATAATCCGGTCCAAACACCCTCCAAATCAAATTCCCCTTTCCTCAAGCCATTCCTTCATTCCATACGCCCTGACCCTTATCCGCACGTGCCCACTCACACAAACCGCCATCGACAGATGGTGGCCGCCCAACGCTCCGGAAACACATGCCCAGCACGCACGCGCACAACAAATGACATGCGCCAACGCACGGCACAGCGGCGGAGAAGCGCACAACGAAAGGATGCGGCCCTCCACAGCCGTCGCAGCCCACCGCGCGCATCACACCCGCAGGAAGAGTGACTCGCGGTGTGCGCTCCCTCTCCTCCCCTTCCCTTAATGCCCACTAAAGGAAGCAGCTGCCACCCGCAACCGCCAGCAAACGCTACAAAAGAAGCATCCAAATCCACTGCAATGTGCATCTTGTGCGTGCATGTGGTTGTGTGTGCCTGCAGACACACGAGGCAAAGAAGTAAAAACAGGAGCAGAGCAAGTGAAGAGACGCACAAACAAAAATGCACAGCAGAAGTGCATGGCAGAAATAACAGGACTGCCCAAACTCATGATATTGCACTGCAGACCAAAGCAGCGGCAATTCATAAAAAATTTATTAAATTAAAAAAAAAAATCATCTTCACCTTTCAACCCCTCATACTTTGAAAAAGAAAAAAGAAAACAAGAAAAGAAAAAAAAGAAAAATAAAAAAGATAATAATAAAAAAAATTGAAAAAAGTCGTCCTCTATTACGGCTACACACAAATAATAAAAAAGAAAACAAAACAAGAAAAACCCCATCACACAAAAAAAAATTTCACTGGTTACTGTGTGCGCCCACCAAACTGTTTGCATATTTTGCCCGCACATTAAAAATTAAATATTTAAATGTCTTTCAACCGTCCGACCCTCCATGTGTCCGCACATCGTTTATATTTCATGGGGTCATCTGCGTGTTGCTGCTCCCCTCAGCCCTCTCATCGGGAGAGTGAGCGCAGCAAAAGAAAAAGAAATCATCGGAGGGGAGAGAAATGCTCACGAGAACGACCCCGAAGGGTGCGCCAGCGCAAAAAAAAAAAAAAAAACACAGTGAGAAAGTCAAAGAGAGCAAGCAAAAAAAAAAAGAAAAAAAGGAAAACACGGCGGCAGGGTGTGGCTGTGTGTGTGGCGCTGCGGGTGTCTGCCCGCCCTGGCCGCAAGGAAACAAAACAAGAGGGAAGAAATGTGTGCTCCGCCCCACAGGCGCTCGTCGCACGCCCACACGTCACGGCTCCCTCAGCGCGCCGTTCGTCGCGGCCCCTCCTCATGCGTGCAGCAGGCGAGGCGCACAGGGCCGTCGTCATGAGCGTGTCGGTGGGTGTGCGAGTGGAGCAGTTGGGCGGGAAACACACGGCACCCCTCACAGGAAGAGTGCAGCAGAAACAATTAAAGAGGGAAGAGTGGAAAAGAAAAAAAACGTCCATCGTGATTGCCCCCAAAAGCAAAAGAAGGAAAATATTTTAAAAAAGGATTTCTCTTTGCGGAGAGTAATTCATTACCGGATGGTGTCGGTGTGAGGGAGGGCGCAAGTTTCCCACACTGAGGCCGCACGCTCCTCACAGAGCCGCGAACCCCCAGAGTCCCAACAGCAGAAAAAGCGGCGGCAGCAGCACCCCGCTCTCACGCATGGTGCCAGCAACGCCGTCATCCCGCTCCGACGAATTTCCGAGACTGCTTTTGAGTGCGGGGCCGAGTGCCGCAGCCTTTGCTTCCCCATCCTGTGGCTGGACATCTTCCTCTTGCCCATCAGCTCCTCCCGTCGTCCCCTCATTCTCACCAGAGCTCGCGCCCCCCTCAGTTGCTACTGCGGGCTGTTCTTGCCCCTTGCTTTCAGAGGCATGTGATTTTGGATTTGCTGCGCCATTTGCTGTGTTGGAGATGCCCACAGAGGCTTGGGTTGGTTGATCTCTCTGCTTGTTATCGGCAACTTCTTTCCTCACCGTTTGTGCATCATCAGACAAGGAAGCGTCATCCTCCGATCTGGCGGCACTTGAAGATGTAACAGATGCCGACTGGCCTGCGCTCCTCTCCCCTGCTGTGGGTGTCGTGGTATTGGATACCGCTGGTGTGGATGGAGCGCCATCGCTCGGGTCACTGCTCCCGTTCGAATTTGCTTGTTCCGTCAGCTGTGGTGCGGCAGGAGTGGGCGCTGCAACAGTTGCCTGCGTCTCTGTGGCAACCGAAGTGGTTACAGTGTCAACGGACTGGAAAGTAGTTGTCAACGCCGGCACCGGCTCCCTTTCCGGAGGTGGAATGGTGACTTTATTCGCGTTGAGGGCACCAATCTCAGTGTCATTCAACGGACGGTTGTACAGAAAGACGTTTGCCACCGTCGCATGAATTTTTCCGCTGCTCAACAGCTCGTCGTACGCGCCAAAGTAAAAGTGTGAGATCTCGTCCAGCTCTTCATCAGAAAAACGAAGCAGGGCCAAATCCAACAGGGATTTCCCGTCAACGTACACGGAGCCCACACCGTTATGCATTTTGAGCACCACGTGATACGTCTTGTCCAGCTCCCATTTGGTTAAATACCTTGGGTACGACCCGTGCTCCACGCTCCACTCCATATTATCGTACGACAGTCCCAGGAGTGTTGTCGTCCTCATTCTTTTCAGGCCCATCAGGGGAGTGATGCCCTTCGGCACCTCGTGAATCGACACCGTTGTCGCAAGAGTGAACCCATAGTTTGCAAAGTGGAGAGGTCTGGTCGGCCACTGCTTGCCCACAGGCCACTCGGCCCCCGCGCCCTGCCCTTCGAACGTCCACCCACTGGGAACCTTTTTCGTCGCACCCCTCACAACAGCATTCACCCCAAGGTACTCGTCTTCCCACCTGTGCCCGCTGAACCTATCGGCCAAATGGCCCACAAGCCCAGCCGTAGGGAAAGGAACAGAACAGCCCCATCTTGACAGCGCGACGTCCGCAGCGCCTGTGCTGCATCGTCTCAAGGCAATGTCATTTGCGGCCCAGGTAGACAGCGCATGCCTTATCTTCTGCAGCTCGGACGTCAGATCCAGGAAGAAGGTTCCAGAGTCGCTTCCACCACTGGCCTCGTACAAACAATACAGCTTATCATTCGCGTACAACAGGGAGCTGGAGGTCGCGCTATTCCCAGTGGATAGCAGGCCAACGTGGTAAATGCGGTTCGTGTCTGTTAGCCACAGGTGAATCTCGCCCTTGCTCTCGTGTCTGGAATATTCCAGCTGGGTGAGGAGGATCACCTTCATTCCATCAATGGTTGCGGTGATGAATCCGCTCTGAATGTGGGGCCCAAGACCTGCCAATGAGTTGCTCCACACGCGCGAGAGCGTCCCCAGAGCCTCCTTCCACGTGTTCCCCTTGTCAGTCGACTCGTACACCCTTCGGCGACCGTAATCACATGAGGTGATCATGATGATTTTCCCAGCCTCCCATTCAAGGATACTGGGGTTGGTGCAGCCCGCATGTGTCGCGCTGTTCGCAAAGGTCCAGTGCGGTTGAACGGAATTCGAGTACATGACTGTGGACGCGGTTTTCCCTCCAAATTCCAGAAACTGCACGGGAAACACGAGCGTGCCATCCGTCATTCTCGTGATGGGAGTGCTGGCATCGTTGAGGAAGCCAATCAATTCGTCGGATTCATAGGGATAAGGAGGGCGAATGCTCATAGAGAAGGAACTCATCGAAAAACCTCCGCTTCGTCCAGGCCCCGACTCCAGAAAATGGATAACAGACTCCAACCCACTTCCCCCCCACTCATCGGCAAAACGAATCATGGCCCCAGTCCGTAAGTCGTAGCCCTCCACAAATGCAAAAAGCGGTTCGAAGGGTCCAAAAGACGACGGAAACGGCAACCAGTAAGGGCTTGCAGCAAAAGCGTCACGATCTTCTGGTCCCGCGTACGACTGCCACGTCCTCCCATCATCAACGCTGATCTGTGCCATCAACTGCATGGACGCACTCCCGCTCCCCACAGATCCATTGAACTGAGCTCCAACAATGGCCAGGAGCATCCAGCCCAAATTCACAAGATGGGGATTGCGGAAAATGTGGCCAGCGGCCGCTGTGTTTGCGACTGGATACTCCCTTGGCGACCGCTTCAAAATGTGTCTTCCATAGGAATCGCCCACTCTCGTTCCATAGTTTTGGGCCTGCACTGACCCAGCGGCGCCGCACATCATCACGAAAAGGAGGAGCAGCAGCACCGCGGAAGCAAACACACGCCGGGACATGTTGGGCCTCTGCGACTCACTCTCTCTTCCTTCCCTCCTCCTTCCGCCGGATCCGGTCACGCGGCGACGGTAGTCTGTGCGGGTTGCCATTACAGCAGCAACACGTGAGAGCATATAAATATGTAAGTTTGCTGTTGGTCCTTTCAGTGCCTTCGAATTTCACAGTAGTGATTAGCGCTTTTTATTAACTTCCTTCTTGGAGGGAGGCAACAGACAACAGCGGAAGAAAGGCAGCACAACAGCAGTACACACCGCCACCACTCACAGCGAACCACAACATCGGCGTCCCCGCAGCCATTGTTCTCCAGCACAAAAAAATTAAGAAAAAAAAGTGAGCAGCCTCCCAATGGGAGACCGCAGGCCATGGCGCTGCAAATAAGGCAAGCGACGGGGAGCCACGTGTGCAGCGAGGAAAAAGAGAGTTGCACTGCAACGGCACGGCGACGTTATGCCGCGTGGGGAGCATCGATGCAGACCAGCACATCGCCTGCACGAAGAGTTGCTTCTCCCGCTGAGCAGAGACGGAAAACAGCCTCAGCGTCCCAATAACGAGAGCGTCATCTGCATCATTGTGCCTGCAGAGCTTGCAGGTGCTGCGAGGAGGTACAGATGACGCTCTGCTGCACGCATGACGGCCGTCGCACCCTTCACAATGGCAATTGCATCCTGTGGCACCACACGCCGCAGTCGATGCGCACAGTCTCCGTCTCACTTCCCTCCTTTCCCTCTCCCTGAGAACTCATCGGTGGCCGTGGCACACCCACCAACATGTCAGAAAGCACTTGTTTTTCTTCCCTCGCATTTCGCACAGCAGCACCGCCAACCTCATTTTATCTCCCTTTATTTTACGTACCCTCTTCCGTCAAAGCTTCCGATACTGCCGTCCGCCCACCTCCGTTCATTTCGTCTCCCCTTCGGGTGCTCGCACCACACTCACGGTCGTTTTTATTGTTATCGTCTGGCCGCATTACGCTTCCATCAGCACCATTGGGAATGAATCCTCGCATGAATGAAAATTGTTGTCGCAGAGCGTTGTCGCCCTCCTAATCAAAGGGAAACAACAACGGATAAACGCCCACACAAAAAAGCATGGCAGTCTTTCCCTACGAATGTGTGCACCCAAACTCATTACATCCGTTCCCCCTCGTCAGTCATCCATGCCCACAGCACCGCGAAGGCACGTTTTCACCCGTGATCCCGGAAAGAAATGCCGTTTCCCTCACCACCATCACATCCACACGGGTGCGCAGTTGCCGCTCGCACGTACACCCTTCCACAGAAGCAAAGCCAATCCACAAACGATAAAATAAAGAAGCAGCGCGATGCGTTGACGGATTCCTTCCGTTCCGTCTGTTTCGTGATGAATCCCCGCCTCCTTGCCTATGTATTTCTGTCTTCTCTTTATGTCACCCACACAAATAAAATGCTCAAACAAAGTCCTGAAAACCCCTTTTATAAGTCACCGACACCTGCTCTGCGCCCTTGTGTCGCTTCAATAAAAGACCGTCATTCACAAATGCACCCCGATGTTCAAAACGAATACCCGCACCCGATAATCCTTCAACAGGGTATTAAGAGCCAGCTCAGAAACATGCACCACCAATACAGTCATAAAGCCCGTAATGAAAAGTCCACTCCAGCATGGACCTTTTTTTAAAGTCTTCATCGCAAACGGCCATGTACGAATTGAACTTGTCCAGACAAAACAGTCCTCTGTGTCAAATCCATTCTCGTCATGAATCCTTCATGAAACCCCGCCGCACTGGTTAAACTTTCACCACTCGATCGGCCACGGCAAGCAAGAACGGAAACAGCCACATAAGGACAATCATCTGTTAAGGCATGCCTTTGGCGTTGTAGACGGCTAATCGCACAGAAACAGTGCCCATCCACAAGAAAACAGCATACACTGCGGCTCCTGCACTCCCTAATAAGCGCCTCATGAAATAAAAATTTGTGTCGCGATTTCAGAGCACTGAAGTACCAAAAAAAAAAAAAAATGAATTGAAGGCAACAGTCGAGCACAAGTTCTACCGAGTCTTTGTCCGCAGGGAGAAAGGGCACCAAGCACACTGCACTTGAGATTCACTCACAATAAGACACCAATAAACAAACCAAGGGCGGTGTGGAAATGGATTTATTCCATTCAGCAGCCCCAGCGGATCATAAAATACAAAAGGGGCCCAACGTAACGATGGTTCCTATCATGGCACCACACAACGTCGTCCTTCCATTTCAGGATGGGAATTAAGGAGTTAGCTGCAAGTACAGAAACTGTCTTCTCCACCCGGCACAGGACGCTGAGAAACTAGCCAACAGGCCAGAAAGAACAACATGCAGCAAATCGCTCCCAATATTCCGGTAATCCCTTCTCACGCCGAGTTATCGTCGCGGCCAACAAGTCCAGTTTGCGCGGTCCGCCTTTGTGAATTCACAAGCGCCATCATGATGAACAACCCACAAACATACCAAGGCAATCCATACGTGATGTCCTCAAACACCCTTGCAAAACCTCCCAACACCCTCTGCCCCGTGATGCAGATCGTTTCTGAAAGTAAAACCATTCGTGGTGAAGAAGCGCATCCCTCGTCAAAGGCACATCGCCCATCACCTGCGATGCTTGCGCCTCCAACGCCCTCCGCCCATTCGCCGAGAAGAAGAAATGATCACGAGCAACAGCAGCAGTGGCGTGCACGTCACACGCAGAGAATCCTAATCAACCAAGCAAGCGATATTGAGGTTCAATCCGCTGATGCCTCCGAAAAGCAATGGAAACATTGTTGGGCAGCAGATTTCTCGGACTAAACGTCATCCACACTTCAGCACATTTCGCGCCAAACATTCCCAAAAAACGCGTTTGGAGTGCGTGTGACAAACGCAAGAGCAAAAAAGAGATGGAGCACAAAAAAACACTGAACCCCCCAAAAAGAGCATTCTTACGTGTTCCCTCGCTTGCCCTCGCATGTCTCATTTCCGTGGGGCGGGCCTGTGGAATATGCGGGGGGCAGCCGGGCCCATCAAGGCGATTCCCATTCCCAAGCGTCATGACCCGCCGTACGCTCCCGAGCACACGTTTTCGCATACCACGCGCCCGCTTTACTTTGATGACAGTTGTGGGACTCCAACTTCCCCAGTGTGTCCCGCAGTTTCTTGCCCTCTTGCTTTCGCTCTTCGTTTACAATTCATTCCTGGCAAGTATTCCTTTCGGGTGGTCGCCTGTTGCAATGATGAGGCGCAATGGCAATCGTGATGAGCATCGCCAGCGACACAATTCAGACACATCAGTGGCAAGTAGGCTTGGCGCCACACGGGACCCGGCGCTTCGCTCGCCCAATGAAAAGCTGCGGCCCCGTTGGACTGGAAAGCGCGCGGCACAAGTCGGTATCCCCAGGCGGCAATCAAACGGTTCAGAAACAGCGCGTCATCAGAGGCACGCTCGGCACACCCCACTGCAGAGCCAGTGGGCAAATTTAGAGCCAATTGGCACGACTGCGGCGGGCCATGGCGGACGGCAGGAATCATCTCGCGGTATTGTACGGGGTAAACGTCTACAATTCGCTGTGGCAGCCAGGCGCAGAACAGATCGTCAATGGCGACAAAAGATATTCGCCACGTGTCTGTCTCAGCCACATTCGCTAAGAATAATCGGCGGCGTTGAGTTTCTTGTGTCAAAGAGTAGAGGATAAAAAAGAGAAAAAAAACGCAATGTTAGGCAACGCCGCATTTCCCAATGCTCCATGATATGTCAGTTCAAATTTCTCAGAGACGTAAACTCTGTGTGGAAATGACGCCTCATCTCCGACCCGCTCTCATGAGTAAGTGAGATATGTTTGTGTGTGGGGAGAGGAATATAGTATTCATCGGCGCCTCTGATTTTCATTCTCCTCGCCTCTTCTTTTCCGTCAAATGAGTGCCGCGCCCGGCAACTCTGAAGAAGCGCCGCCAGAGCCAAAGATAAATGACCCGACGCGCGTCAAAATATTGCCGAGTGGAGAAAGCGTCGGGAAGAGGACAACACTTGAAATAAAACTAGGAATTTGCTTCAGAAACTCAAAAACAGCACCTCCTGCACCGTATTGCATACCTCCATAAGCGTTTTTCTGGAGACGTCGCGAAAACGCACAGTAGGCAGCCTTATTGTGGCGCGGTGCAGGGATGGAACGAACGTCCCAATTGGCGAACCACGAAAAAGAACATCTTCAGGAGGCCGCACCCTCCTGTCATAAGTTAGAATGACGCAGATCTCACATATGACCACAGAATTGATTTCAATGCGTCGGTTCCTTGAAAATGGAGAAATGAATGGCACGGCGATTGCTGGACTTGCGTCACCACCCTTACTTCCTTTCTTCTTCATTGTCTTCCATGAATTGTCTTGGCAGTGTGCTGCCAGCTGGTAAGACTGATACAAAAGGATATCGGATAATTCCAACTCTAGCCGTGTTGCATTCACCTGAGCCGAGCATGCGGA